CTGTTGGTTAGTGCTCGTATTGTTGCTGATAACTCGTCCATCGAAAGCGGGCGGAGCCTTCCATCGCTAGCTCTGCCGTGGCTAAACCGATAGGTTTGCTGTAATTCTTTGCACTTTGAATGCCTTGATGGTATTAGTTGGGGGCCGGGAGTGATGGAGGTAGGGGGAGTCGCCGCCGCGGCGCACGCGGCATGTTTGCGCTTTTTTAGATGTCGGTCAGACTCTGCGATTGCATCGCGCGATGCAGTCGCTCTTGCAATGTGCACAAGCGACGGGCGATTGGCATCGCTCCAAAGTGCGAGCGACGGGAGATTTACCCCGCCGACGACCGATACACACGGCGCCGCTCGGGTAAATCTCCCGTCGCTCGCACTTTGGAGCGATGCCAATCGCCCGTCGCTTGTGCACATTGCAAGAGCGACTGCATCGCGCGATGCAATCGCAGAGTCTGACCGACATCTTAGTATGAAACGAGGAACCTCCGAACCAAGGGGAGTGTAGCTAATTCAGGGGGATGTGGAGTGAGGCGAGTCACTTGAAATGCATGAAAAGCTGAATGTGTGAGTTCACACCTCTTCGCTGAGAGAAGGCGAACATGCCACTCTTCCAGAATTAAGTGTGGTCGCTTTCTGTTCTGGCGACCTCCCCTCCAAACTGTCAGCAATAATACCTTCTATACTTCTTGAGTGTGAATTGCATCCGCAAAGGTAATCCACGTCACGTTTTTTTCTTTTTTCTTCGGATTTTTTTTTACAAAACTCTGCTTAGTACCATTTATTTTTATAAAACTCTGCACAGTACCATTTACCCGTAAATCAGAGATGCGTTCGGGTCTATTCCAGTTAGGGGGGGGCATCATGATGCAGTTTTTCCAGAAAGCTAGGGTAACTCCGAGCCAGGGGGAGTGTAGCCAGTCTAGGGGGTGGGGGTGAGGGCAGTCACTTGACATGCGTGAAAAGCTGGAATGTTCGAGTTCACCGAGAAACTGCATCATGATGCCCCCCCCCTAACTGGATAGACCCTGCGATTCTTTTACCTCTACGCAAGAAGTCTGCAGCTGAGTTAAGTGACGGGAGTGTTTTTCTCACGTTAAGTGCTCCGTCGCAATGCATCCTCATGTGTCATTGTTGATAAGAGTGCATGTATGCGTCGTGTACGCCCGTCTTTTAGCACGGCCATTACTAATAGTGTCTTGCTGTGATAAGAGATTTGCTGTGATAGCTTGCCAAATTCACTGATATCTTTTTGAAGGTGTTTTCGACTTTTTGTGCTTCTTAAGGACCATTATGTATTTTCGCATCATACGTCATTGTCTGAATCCAATGGGCGTGAAAGTTCTCGTCCTTATTGAATAGATGACATCCTGAATAGCTTTGGACATTTCCACTGATATGGACGCGGAAATATGCGGGGTACGATAGCTGCATAAGTGTGTATCTCAGTACATGCGCCATCTCCTCGTAATTTTCCTCTCATTTTTGACTACCACAGTTCCCAGCATCTCTTTTGCTGTTGATTCAGTATGCCGATACTGTAACTTTTCCTTAAAGGCAGTGAACACGATAAAAGATCTGCACCAGGAAGTGTATGCACCAGTGAAAGTGATAGAAAAACTGCAAAGTAAGCGAAGCGTTGCGTTTTCGCGGCGAAAGGTGCGCTAGTTGCAATGCAGCTGAGCTCCAAGCCAGAGACCACTCCGCCTCCTTCAAGATCACCCCGCCCCGCATGTTTTTGATGTTTGCCACGTCGTTGTCGTTATCGTTCGATGTTTATTCTAAAAGTTTACATCAAACTAGCGTATCTTGTAATTTTTTCTTCCTCTATATCGTACCAGGGCACACTCATCCAAATGGCCACCACTAATTCGTGAGTTCAACGAAACTCAACGGGCTGAGCAAGGCTGTTGTCAGACTCCGCGACCCGTCGCGCGATTTGCGCGACTTTCGCGATTGCGCGATTCACACGCCGGGTCACGGAAATCACAAGTATCCCGATCAATACTGCGAAGTGCTGTCCAATCTCGCCGCCTTTTCTGCTTGATGGTGATGGTTAAATGACGACTGTTCATGATTCTCAGTGTTACAATTTTGGAGCACTTGTGATTGCGCTTCGCCGCGAATCGCGCGAGGGATCGCGGACTCTGACCAGCCTAAAGGTCCCAGCTTTCTGATTTTTGACGGTTTATTCTTCTTCACTTCACTGGGTCGCCTGGGACTCCACGTATTCGCGAAGTCTGACACCGGCCTAAGCGGCGCAGGATCAAGTCTGGCGTGCGATCTATGTGGCCAGTGGAGGAATGACGGTTGCCCTAGATTTATTACACGAATCGGCACAGGATATGGTTCAAAGATTACTGAAAACTGACCAAAATTCGCGAACATTTCAAAATTTACGGTTCCCGCCTCTCGCTAGTCGTGCGAGGACTCTTACCGATTAGTTTGCTTCAAAGCGTAAGCTGGTTTGTGGCCGAGCTCTGGCGTAGTTTTTAGTACCCTTCATTAGTAGGATTGGAAAAAAGTTGCCCCTTCCTTACGTGGTACGCTTTTAGTGTGGAAGTCATTGCTGTTGGATTTGTCTGCCGGCAGAAATCGTTAAGCACTAATTTCCTGGCATTTCCTGCAATTAGGGCAACTGGGCGGAATCCATCGACGGGGAAATGCGAATTAGCTACTACACCATGAACGATTGAAGGTTGCTGATCAGCATTATTATATTACCTGACCAGGCGCTGGTTGGTCTTTCGCGACCGCTCGCTTGCATGGCACTAACTGGACACATCAATTTGGCTCCAAGTATTTCGTCTTATTTTTGACTTGAAGGACAATGGCTAGTTTCTTATCGGCTTATTCTCCTTGGCGCTACCATTTAATAGCGCTGATTGACTTCAAGGATGCACTGCTTTTGTTTTACAATTTTAACAAATCGTTGAGGGTAATTATACCGTATTCCCCATAACCAAGGCTGTGTAATTAATAATTATTAATTATTTTTGTGTAATTATTAGTACACTTGGCTTAGCCTCGGCAATTCCATACCACGTGTGCTCTTTGATGCTTTTGATGTTGTCCAATATCTAGTGTTATTCTGCACTGCGGCACTCACTACGTAAAACAGAGTGTTATTCAGTTTGTTCATATGCATTTGTGTGTTTGTTCTAATAAAGGGGTGGAGGCCTTGAGGGCAGAGCACCATGAGTCACCTGCCCGTTGTTCATCAAGTTTCCCGAGCCGGTATCAGTAACTTCCCCACTTTCGTCGCTTTTAGGGCAGTCTAAAAGCGCTCCTAGAGTTCATTTGCGTGAGCGAGGATCGTCCTCGCTCAGAGCACATGAACTCCTTCATTCCTTTCGTTCAGAGCTTTCGTGAAGAAGTCTGACCATCGGGCCGGCGGTCGTCCAGGTGTTCGTTTGACGTCCCGAGGGATCCAGTCGGTAACCGCTCTGGTCCAACGGTCATCGCAAAATCGCATGACGTGTCCGGCCCACCTTATCTTCGATTCCTTGGCGAAAACGGCAGCGTCCCTGATCTTCGATCGTTGGCGTAGTTCCGCACTCCGGATTCCCCTCTGCACTTGCGTGTACAGGGTTACTCCTAGCATCTTCCTCTCCTCAGCGCGTTTGGTGACGTTGATGACAGTAGCTTGTCCTTCTTTGCAGAGTCTAGGTCTCTGGGCGTACGCAAAGGGGGGAAGCAGTGCTGATAGAAGCATCCTAGACTTTCATGCAGAGCAGCCTAGAATTTTGAAATTCATACAGAAACTCTTGTTTTAATGTAGTGTTCTAGAAAAAGTGATACTTATCCAGCTTTCTTTTTGCGCGAGCGCTGGAGCTCCCCCACCGAACCTTGCTTCTCTGTGGTAGGGCTTTGGTATGTGATCGGCACGAATTGTTGCACCATAATGCCATTCTTATTCGAATAGACCAGGAGTTGTAGTATAAAATATAAAACTATTGAAGTTGTGTCTTAAGTGAACTATTTCTTCAGTCTTCAGTCTGCTATTTGATGGGCAGGGCGAGATCCTAATCACCTGTTCTTTTCGAGCTGTACATTTTCCTTTGTGCTGTCATGCTTTGACATAGTTCCCAATTTTCAAACGAACTATTTTGGAAAGCGTTTTGTTCATTTCTGTTTTTTTGCGGCTTCTATGTTTTTGTCAATTCAAACGTCAAGTGTTTTGAATATTTTCTCTGTAGAGTTGATGATGGTATCGTTTATTCCAACTTTCTTGACTGCAAAACTTTTGTTTCAGCTTCTATGAAAGATGTTATTGCTCGTGAACGTCGAACGGCATCAGGAAGTTCTTGGCAAAATCGTTGCTGATTTGGTTCGTTGTTTTGATTTTCCCAATTTGGTATCTTTTTCTTATTTCTATTATATCTTGGTCCATTCACGATAATGGACGGCAGTAGTCCTGTGGTCAGTTATCCTCTAGCGAATGTTGGGATTTGTGTTCAGCTGCGACTCAAGCTTAACTAGACACGGCTTCACTACGCTTCGCGTCCGCACGCTCGTTTTTCATCTGCTGCATACGTGTTTACTTTAATGTCCTAAAAACTTTTAGCTCTTTAGAAATTAGCATCGTCATATGCTTAGCAAAACGAGCTGTTAAAGGGGTGGATTTTTGAAATACTATTGGTTGTTCAGGTCAAATATGGAGTGCCAATATCCTTAGTAGCCGGCACGGACAAAATCTGCACACGATGTTCTTTTGTGGAAAAGTTTAACTCAAAAAGAGAAGGAGATCAACCTCTCATCGTTGGTTTACCACAAGTTGGACTCCATGTGCAGGTAATATTTCGCTATTATATTTTTATCACTATTATTTTTATTCGTCAATAAAATTTCTCGCGTTCATTTTGTTATATTTTTGCCGATTTTATCTCGTTTTTTCTGATTCGGCGAATTCTTTCGACTTTCAAATTTTGGATATGCTCTATTCACTCAAGGCGAATGAATTCTGGCTGAAATTGTTGGTTTTTGATTCGTTTTTTTTTGAGAGTTTGATCGCGGTCACTAGAAGGGTACATGAGTTTGATCAGCGGTGGGAATGGGGTTCATTCTCCTATTCTTCTGTGAGGGGTTCAGAGAGGGAAATATAGATGTCGTAAATCTTTCGTTGGTATATCATGGAATAGCTAACAGCGATTAAGAGGCAAAATGATGGTATTGCCATAGTGCCAGTAATAGCCCTCTACCTCTCCCGACGGTGACGATTGAGAGGAGAGCGTAGAATAGGGGAATTGAAAGCCCTACCTATACGTTAATCTCAACTACTGCCCACAACATTGCCCTAGATTTAAAGTATTTCTAAGTTATATGTAATCTACGCCGGAGTCGTAGGAATGGTGTACTGGCTACCAGGGTCGACTTGGTGTCACCGAACGTAGTCGCGATCGTTTCTATCGCTTGGCAAAGGGCTGTACGCCTTGATGGAAGAACTCGACTCATACATAGGTGAAATAGAGGATTCAGTGAATGTTTTGATCAATTTCGCAAGCTTTTGAAATTTTTTTACTGGAACCTGTAAAGCCACGGCCCAAACGTCACGGGTTTCGCGGCATGGCCTTGGTGACAAGTGGCATCGTGTTTAGTACAAAGGTCAAAGCTCTCTTTGAATTCTGTGTAGGCTGGCTCAGCTTTCTTTCCGTTAGGCTCAGTACATTGGTGCCAGACTTTGGGAGGATAGCTGTGCCATGGTTACCATTAGACCGGTACCCGCGATTCGCTCTATAAAGAGCATCTTTTCGAAATGCCACTACCATTTTGAATGAGAGTAAAATGCGGGTGCATACCAATAAAACATTGGCCTGCAGAGCACTTGTCCTTTCACCTTCTTATGTAATATCGATGTCATTCCAAATAGGATTTTTTGCGCCGCTTCGGTGATAGAATCGTTCACTTGTAACAAAACCTTTCAAATTGATAGTGGTCATAATTGAAATTTCCAGCGGTTTATTGGAATGGGCCACGATTATGACTATTCCCATTAGGTTTTTATCATATTGCAGAAGAACTATGAGGGGAAAATTGGCGAATAGTGCAATTGCACTTTTGCTGATTGCTTGCCGCTAAATTGCCCCTTTCCAAAGGTAGTTATTGGAAAGCGTTGCGAGCATGTGAGTGAGATTTGATTGCATAATTAAGGGAAGGGGAGCTGATAATTTGCCTCAGTGGTCACGTAGTTGAGACGATTCGTGCGCTTTAGAACCTATTTAATTTAATCAGTAATCTTCTGTGTTTTTGGATAGTTGATATTTTAGACAACGATGAATGAAGTTAAGGATGAAGCTAGAGAAGAAGGCCCTGCGGATGGTGATCGCAAAAGTGAAAGCCCGTGTGTTATGGCAGCGGCAACAACGACGGCAACAAACGAAGTCGATCAGGCTATCAAGCGGTAGGTACATACATCACCTCGTCTTTCAATTGTTCTTAGGTGTTCATTGTCTGATTTCGCTTGCTACAAGAAGAAACCCGGGGTCGCAAAAGTCGGTCGTGTCCCGCGCAAAGTACCCGGCTTCGTTTTATCGTTCTCGCCTTGCACCGTTTGCAGTAAAATTTTTCTTGATATTTTTGCCAAACTCGCTTTTAAATTTTCTGTTTTATGGGCAACATTTCGTAGTCATCATTCTGTCTGTCTCAGGGCACTGCGGGTTTCACATACGCCATTTACTGGTCTGATGGCATTGCCGCTGAGTTTTTTCACACCATCCTCGGACAGGGAGACGTCAAGAGATACCAGCAAGAATGGAAGTGGTTGTGAAGAGGAGGATGTAAGTCTTCACCTTGCTTTTCATTTTCTACCATTTTATATTTTGTTTCCTCTGCAGTTCTATGTGAAACTTTTAACTAATTGAGATAGGGTGAGGATGGAGATTTATCGGGGATTCTTGGTGATGTATAGGTTAATTTCCCTATGCGATGTGCTTTTTTTCAAATAAAATATTTCCATAACTGCATTCAACCTTGTGAAGC